GGGGGCCCGGGATGCTCCCTGTGCTCAGGGACATCCCAGCACTGGAGCAGGGGAAGGAGCTGCAGGTCCCACCACCACCAAGGGATCCAAAGGTCCTGTCCCCCCCATGGTCCTGCAGGGAGAGGACTCTGGGCTGTCACCCTGTGGGGCAGGGCAGGGACACAACGTCCCTCCAGCTTGTTCACAACTTTAACATCCCGTAGGGATGGTTCTGTCCTGGAAGGAGGGAGCAGAATCTGGGCTGTCACCCCATGGACACGGTGTCCCCCCAGCACTCCAGACTGTTCACACCTCCAGAGTCCCCCAGGGATGGCTCTGTTCTGGGGGGAAGGAGCAGAATCTGGGCTGTCACTCCATGGAACACGGTGTCCCCCCAGCACTCCAGACTCTTTACACCTCTAACATTCCCCAGGGATGGCTCTGTCCTGGAAGGAGGGAGCAGACTCAGGGCTGTCACTCCATGGGACACAGTGTCTCCCCACCACTCCCAGCCTGTTCACACCTCCAGTGTCCCCCAGGGATGGCTCTGTCCTGGTTATTCCCTTTCCCTGGGGAATCTCAGGCTGGATTTGTCCCCTGGCCATGTACTTGGTGTCCCCCCCAAACCCTCTGCCCCGGGGTCCTTCTGCTGCCTCACATCCCACCCCGGATCCCTTGGGACCCTGCCAGACATGAGGTCACCGAGGAGAAAGGCTGTTAAAAAAAAAAACAAAACCACCCTACAAAAAAATTAACCCCAAACCCAGCAGTGGGGGTGGGAAAAGGGGTTGGATGGAGGCAGAGGCTGGAGAGAACCAACGCGGAGAGGGTGCGGCTGTGCCAGGGGCTGCTGGCAGGACCCCATCGCATTCCAAGGTGGGGGGACAAACCCAAAACCTCAGAGACAACCCAAAACCTCAGAGACACCCCTGGATCCCGGGCTGGCACAAGGGCGGAGCATCAACCCCTGGCCCCGCTCGGCAGCTCCGAGTCCCATCCCTCCTCCACCGCGGGGTTTGTGGGCACACACGGGTCGGCTCCAGGCCGCCCGTCCCTGTGGGATCCCTCCATCCCTGCGGGATCCCCA